ATTAGATGACAATGGCGCTAACAGGAAACAAGTTAATGTGTCAAAAAAAAAGATTTTTTTAAAAAAACAAACTGGTTTTAATTTCTGAATTTCTTCATTTATTTTTGACTAAGTAACACCAAAACTAAAATCCGACATTACAACAGCTGTAACAGACATAATTATATACAGTTACTGAAATTACTTTTTCTAACTCCTATAAGTTGTTTCACTGAAAACATAAAAATAAAATTAAAAAAAAATAATAATTGTTCAATCAGGTTAATTTACATACGCTTGGCACAAAATCCTGAGCATTCTTCCATTGTTTCAAAGTTGTTGCCATTACCACCACACTGAGTATATTGAAAAGATGAGCATTTGCCCAAGTTTGCATCGAAGAAGTATCGTTTTACTGACGGTTTGCTGGTCATGCACTGAACTCCGCCACTCCGTGGTAACGAACATATTGATTCTAGATTCATTACCAACAAAAAATCTTCTGATATTTGCCAGGAAGTCATTAGTGTGATATAAAAGTAATCAAAAAATTAGACTCTGTTACCGGAAGATGGGCAACAATACGGTAATTTTCCGCTACGAACACATTCATATCCTTTTGGACACGGTTTTATTTCCGAACAATTCAGTGTATCCCCGCTCAACGGTCTTCCAACAGGGCAAACTGCTACAAAGAGTATCATCGGTTTCAAAACATTATCAACTTTACTTATTTTAGCGCCAAATAAATATCGATGTTTTTGTCAAAAAAAAAGTACGAATTATAAGAATACCCACTTGTTGATGGGCAGCATCGTGTATTAGAACAGAAATAGCCGTCTGGACAGTCGGCAGCATCACTGCACGAACTGCGAGTTGAAAGTGGTGTTTTTCCATTGGGACACTTTTCTAAAAAACATTTTGATCTCATTCAAAAAATTTTTATTTTTTTGTTTGTTCAGTCGACTGCAGCAGTCAAATTTTTTTAACAAGATAATTTTGGCCTAATTCTATTCATTATACATACAGTTACATAAATCAGCTTAGACAACCAGTGCTGTACAGCTTAATGTTGCAACCAATTACTGAATATTTACAAAATAATCATGAATGAAAGTTGTAAAAATTTTAGATATTTTTGGTTTTTTCTTTTTTTGAAAAAAATGAACTTTTTACGATTTACTACATTTACCATATTTTTCCTCCATTGTATTAGAGCAACATATTGGAGTGTTTAAAAGACTGCTTTGACGACAGACAAAACCTTTAGGACATGATCTGTAATAGCAGGTTGTAAAATACGATGGTCAGCATTTGCAAAACTTTTCATCTGTTTCAACATTAATTCTTTTTTTACGAATTTTGTTGCATAAACTACTGTACTTTCAGCCGACAATCTGAACTTGATTTGGCTAAAGTAAAATTGATGTACAAAAATTATCATTCTTCAAAAGTAATTAAGAATATTGCCTTAGTTGTTTCAACTAAGACGAGTAATTTTCAATAATTTTGATACTGAACTAACTAATAGTTTTTTACTTAAAAGCACATAGTCGTATAAACAAGCAAAAACGGTAAGAACAGATAAGCATGATTTAGCTGATGAAAAAAAAAACTAAAGAAAGCAGTAAAAAAAACTCATTGACATACAATTTTCCCACCACAGTTTTATCAATTTTTTGAAAAAAAAGGTCAGCTCTTGTAATCTGCGAAAGAATTATAAACAGATTAAAGCAATTGTTTCTTCTTATACTCTGTCTAAAACAAATTTTTGCTTAATAGAGCCAAAATGTACAAACTGCGACTAATTCTTTCACGATCAAAATACCCCTTACTTATAATCAGTCAACGAACATGCCACATGATCTCCGGTGTTCAAATTTACCAAGCCCACCGAATTAAACGGGCATCCAAATTGTTTTCCGCAACAACGAGTCGCCAAACCAGAAACAAGATTACAGGTAAATCCAATTGGACACGATGTTACGTCAGATAGTGTGCAACTTTTTGGTTTTCCAGTATTCGGCTGAATATAAAAAGCAATTTTTCTACAGTTGATAAAGAATCTTTTTTAAATATGCATTTTATAAGATTGGCCTTGTTAACAATCTTAAAAATTTTCAAAACAAACAAAAATAATTTTCTTCAGTTAATGTAAAAAAAATTAAAATAATGTACAATAAAACAGTTTTTGAGAGATAAGTTGACATTAAGAAAAATTTGTACACAGAAACGAAAAAAAAACAAGGTTTGGGAAGTTCACTGCTAATTTCTTCTTCTTTCATCTTGCAAGCAAAAGAAAATTCCTTTCAATGAGAAACAAGTACAGCGATTCTCAGAAGCTTATGCGCTTGCTGGTATATTAATAAAAACTAAAAAAAACTTGCTTAGCTTAGATTCCTCTTGTTAACAATCTTGAAAATTTAAAGATTGCCTTTTATGCTCAACATCAATAAGGCTTTTTTGTGTTTACAAAATAAAGTTTGAAAAAGTACTCAAAACTGTAAAGTAAATTATTCACTCTTACTTTAATGTATGTTAGCTGACCGCCGGGACACAGAATCTCCGCGGTTGTTGAATAAGAAGAAGACGGATTCTGGCAACAATAGGCAGTGCCTGTGCGAATATATACCGTGCATTCGTATCCTCAAAACGTTGATGTTGAACCAAAAGCATTCAGTTCTAGTTAATTTGTAAAGTAAATTACTAAATAAAGAGTAGTTTTGCAGCTTTTATGCCTCGCTTTGCTATTCCACTGTTGGTGTAAATAGCCGAATTTAAAAAAAAATATTTCACTGTATCTTTCTTTATTGGAATTTTAGAAAAAAAGCAATCAGATGGTATAGAATCAAAATCTATAGAAATTGTAAAACTACAGAATCAGTTTAGAGAACTCAGTCGTTATTTGACCAATTCAAAAAGAAGAAAATTTTTCAAACCGTCTTCTTTTACCGCCAACCCGACCACTATATATCAATTACATATAAAGAGAAATAAAAGCAAAAAACTGAAACAATGATGACATGTTATTTAAACTGTAACTGACCATCTGGACAGCTACTTATTGATGGATTACATACGACGGGAGCACTTAATCGCGTCATCGGTATACCCTCACCACAAAGATCATCTGAACAACTTTAAAGTAACAAATTTAAATCTCGTTTTTTGCTCAATCGTTTATCACTATAAAGCAGTAAATTTTAAAAGAAAAGTAAAAATAA